CAGGGAAGGGGTAGAGAAGCCCAAAGTGGCATTGGCGACAGATGGCTGAAAGAGTAGCGCCTTACCAAGATGAGAAAAGAAATGACGCTAATGGCACGGTTTTTTATTTCAGTAGTTCGTGCCGTTGTGTTGCGGTTTTGACTTTTGGGCGCGCAAACACCTGCTTCTTCCCTCTTCATTGCCTTAAATGGAACGAGAACTATAACATTAGCGTTATCTCCCTTCTTGTCTTGTCAAGCTAAAAAGGAGTACGAAGCGGCAGATGATTTTTTATGAATTCACTATTATAAATCACAGGGTAAGCTCGGCAAATAACTTTGGAGACAGATTCAGTGGGCCTCGGGAAGTCTAAGTTTTATAAAATTCAAATTATCATTTAAATGTTGCTATTAAAAAGTTGTAAAAATGTATTTAAAAATTCCACTTTTTAAATTGTTATATTTTTTTAACGCAAGACATAACTTTTCCTTTAATGCAAGCACTTTGGCAGGGACAATGCTTCAAATTTATAGGAATGCCATGTAAGATGAAGTAGAATTACGAGTTAATTGACGTTATATTGTTGATTTCAAGTCTGATCACCCTTAATTTCAGGCACCGATGTATAATGCACTGAAATGGGTGATTCAGACTGGTTGCAAAGGCGCTATTTCCATTGCTGAAAGGATCTAGATTATGAGATTTTAGATATTAGGATTTTTATTAGCTTTCCCCAAGATTTTATTGATATTTTTTTATGCCTGTGATTTCTTATTCAAAACATGCATCTCAACTTATATAACTGATTGAAATGTCGTAGAGAAGTTTTAAAGCCTTTTCTCTACTCTTATAATCTGATGACTTTTGCTCAAAACAATCGGCCTCAAAATAGTTTTGTTTACCTCTTACCTTTTTTCATATCTCTAATTTTTAATAATTCTTGCTGCCATGATCGGAGTCATTTTGGGATTGTTCTCCGTTTGTCGAATTTCCTTTTTTCTTAGATAAAACTTTATAGCAAAATGCGCTGTGCACTCAAAAATATAAATTTATTTATTTATTTGTTTATGATGGTATAAGATGTAATCCCGAATTAGGGATGTGAAGTAGTCAAACGCTTTTATAGGATCAATACCGATCTTTATTCCCATAACACAATACTATACAAATAAATGATAACATTAAGCATAGGAAGAAGATGTTAGCAATAAGAGAGGCTAGCAACAGGCTGGAGAGGTCAGCTCGAGTATCTACAACTGCAAGTTTTCCAGTCTTCTTGATGGAAGTGGTGTTTGTTGAGTTTGTCTCGCAAGGTGCTAGAGACTTTCTCGCTAATGCTGCCGAACGTAAGCGACGATTTGCCGAGCAACCTAAGTAAAAGCGTCGAAAACATTGTTTTCCAATTTTGAAAAAAGTGGAATTGAAAATGAATCGGAAGGTTATAAGTATAATCCTCGTGTTCTTATGCCCTGGAAGCGATCTTATATGTCTAGAAATGGGTAGAGAATTATTCACCACCGTTAGGCTCCGCTCTCTT